ATAAACTCTGTTAATGCCAACCAATTAATTAATTAATGTTAAAACTATGTTTATAATTCAATGAAGCCCATTTTTATAGTCATGATACGAGAAATTGGTCAAAAATATCTTAAAAAATTAAAAATGCATAAAAATCATCAAAAATGCCCCAACAATTATTTTGTAATAACATGAAGTATTTGAAACACATTTGTAGCTTGGAAAGCATCGTGTATAACATTTAAAAAAATGATGCAAATGCATTGAAATCAGAGCCTTAATTATCATATATTTTTATGTCTTATTATTTTTATTACAATAATTAAAAATTAAATTAAATGTTATTTAAAAAATACACATTTCATATTATTCGTATCGTTTATAACAGTAATAACAATTCTATAATAAAATATAAATATCAACATTTTGTATTGCTAACGTCTTTAAAGAACAAACTTTTAAAAAGCACATCTTCGTTTTTGATATTATTTGATATGATACAGGTGCGTACACAAAAAAAATATTTTTGTAGGATTTTAGATTGTACGTTTTCATACTTAATTAATCTATAAAACACTTTTATTCTATAAAAACATATTTATTTATTTTTCTGAATTTTTGTTGGAGGGGATGAATCCCTAATACCACCTCACCTTGTGTACGCGTCTGAATAACATATGATAACTATTTCTTTTTATAAAATTTGTATAAAAATTTACGAAATCATAATTAAAACAAAGATAAAATAATTATTGTCTTGTATTTCTTTAAAACTGTTGGGTTTAGTTTGTATTTAAAAATATCATAAAAAACCCGTCTTTTAAAAATGTTTTATATGTTATTAATTTAAATTTCTTAAAATACAATAAAGTTTTATTCACTATTCGCAACATAATAATACCATTTAGTGACGTATATTCAGTTATTATTTACGTATATGCAATTAACATGAATATTTCATGAATATATTAATAAAATTATATTTCAATCATACTAAGTATTTACCATAAAAATATATAATACTATTATGTGTTATAAAAATTAAAATCTAGTTAAAATTGTGTAAACTATTTATTTAAATTCAATAAAAATGTACGCATTTCTATTTGTTGATGTATATAAAACTGGTAAAAATTAAGTTAGAAAAAAATACATATTATTTTGTTAATAACTTTTAATTTTTCTTATATTTATGATTTTGTGGAATTTAAGTAAAAATTAATTCCAAAACTAGTGTGTTAAGCGTTTTCAAAATCGATTACAAAATTAACTTAGATGTTTTTTTTTTTCATTAAATACTTTGAAAACGTCTAAAATATTTTAGAAAAGTTTTAAAAAAGTAGTATTATACTTATTAATATATTATATTATTTCTCTTTCTTAGCACAAAATAGAAATATGTAGAAAAAAATTAATTTGAATAAATCCTTTCTTTTTGATTATTTTATAGTTATATATAATAAATATTTAAAAAATAATATATTCATAAAGGTTTTTAATTTATTTAACAATTGATGTAAAAACTATTTTAATTGCAACTTATAATTTGGATTTTATTTTTTTACCTGTATAAAAAAATGTAATATTATAGTAAACTATTGAACTAAGATCTGCAAAGAATCGTTTGTTGGATTCGAAAAACTTATAAATTGTATTTTAAGTACATTATGTGACCAAGTGATCATATTTGAACAATATAAACAAAATAAAACCATCGGTTATTAGTAAAATATATTATTTATTCCATATCTTTTTGGCTTAGTATATCAAAAGTACTAGTTCTATTTTGTGGAATACCAATATATTGGTTAATCGTCAAACGCGTGCGTGTATTATAACGAAAATGTATTTATTTACATGAGTAGTTAGGGTTTTGTACAAACAAATCAATATGGATTATTATTTAAATTATATAAATAAAATATAGATTTACTTCTAAAACCAGAAAATATTATATCTCATTCCTTTAAAGAATTAAAATTTTTTTTTACATTGTAACATGTTAAATAAGGTTTTTTATTTATTTAATTTTTCAATTTTTTTAGTTAAATATCTACAATATTAATATTTTAATATCACTTTAATTATTAATTAGTTTTACATTTTGTACTCAAAACTGGTTTATTTTACTATTTGTGTAATATAGAAAAGGTATATTCATAAATACATTATTTGCGAACTGTATTATTATATATTATTATATGACGATTATTTGAGAATTTTTAGAATCTGTATGATGCTATAACAATTTTCGATTTTAATAACATTTGTAAGGGTTTTTCGATCGCTATTGTATTGAATTTGGATCTCTTCTTTTTGTGCATGAGTTTACCAAATCGTTCCATTTTTTTTTTTTTTTTTTTTTTTTGTTCGTCTTCGAAGCATACTCTTTATATATGTTCAGTCCCTGCGATGATGGGGTGGTGCGATATTATGATGATATACGTATGTTGAAGTATAATTTTTGTAGCACAGCAAAGAAAGGACCAGTAGTTCAGTAATGTGAAACATCTGGCAAAGTGGCATCTGATGTAGGTAGTAGGATACACCGTGGCAGCGCAGTGTTCGGTTGTACTCAGACAGTACCGCCGTCATGGTGTGTTTACCACTTCCCTATAGTTCATGCTGGTCCATGACCAATGCTTTGCATGGTCATAAATCTTAAATATTAATGAATGAAATCTTAATTTTTAACGGCACACCCAATGCATAATGACTACGAAATTGTATAGATAAAAATTTCAATAATATCTTAATAGGTGAATTAAGTAATACATTTAAAAAAAATTTACGTAATTCGAAGTTATGTTATTATTTTAAAAACTGAAGAAATCAAATGATTTATAGCTATTAAAATTGTAGCTTATAATTTCAATAATAAAAATATCTCATGAAAAATCATTTACATTTTAAAATCTAAATTTTGTTTAAAATTAGAACAAATTATATTCTTTGATTATATTTGATTGAAAAATAAAAAGGTTTAAAATGTATTTGAATATAATAAAGGTCTTGTGTCGAAATATATATAACTAAATTACTGATATCCTTGTTTAAAAATAATGAAGTAGAACTGTATACCGATAAATCTCTACACAACTGAAACATTATTACTATGAAGTAAATTGAATTAATCATGTATAATATTATGAAAAAAATAAAAAATGTATTTTTTATACAAAGATATTTTTTCATTTGTTCTAAATTTTTATATTTAATGCATATATGCGTTTAATTTTTATAAAATTATCATGCTAATAATATATAAAATATTGCATTATGTACGAACGATATTTATTCTTACCGAATATTAAAATAAATGCGAACGTATTGTAATCAACTACAAACTGATCTTGGTGTTAGTTAGGGTAAAATAAAATAACCAGTGTAAAATAACGTACAAACCTGCATGGATACGAGTTTTAAGTATCTTGAATATCTGATTTCTACACTAACCATCGAGGGGATAGTATTAGTATTCGGTTGCCATTATATGCTATTAAATTTCAACCCCATTGTTTGTTCAAGAAAAAACGTCAAATCTGAAACGTTTCTCTTTTTCGATTCTTTCATTTATTTAATGTAAAAATATAGTGTCTGACTTTTAAATACTCAATGTTTGTCATTTTAAATGTTTAACCTCAGTATATTATTGCAACGATAAAATACAATATTTTTCTTCAAAAAATACAAAAAAAATATGTTGTAACCGCATATACACACAACAACGTTCACATTATTATAGAAATCTATATATTTCACTGTGGTAAGTTATATATATTATGTAAAATAATGTTTATTCGGCTTAAAACTATAAATACATTTTAAATAGGAATAATTCAATTACGTTTTACGTATTATTACGTGTTATACAAACTCCAAAAACTAAACTATATTATAAAGAAAAAATAGAATAATTTATTAAATACAATGCATTCCAAATTTGTCTAGGATAAATTGTATACACCTTCTCGAAAGTAATACGCCGGAAAATGTTTTATTATGTTATATATTAATTGTAGATTTTTTTTTAATACATTATAATATAAAATGATATCTGATTATGATATATATGATATATGTGTAAATACGAGTATAGATTATGAATTTGTATTCGACAGTGATTAGTATCGATTGACATTTGTATACCTCAAACAAAAAAGTTGTTGTACTTCAGCATAATAGACATTTTAAAATATTTTGGTTCCAAAAGCTACCCATCTTACATACGTAACGCTCGAAATTTGGACGCGTGATATTTTAAGTTATAAAAGTTGTCTATTATTTCATCACTGTTAGTACTGATTAAAATAATTATTACGTATATCTTTAAAATAAAAGTGTAAATCTTTGTTTATAATTCACCATTGATTTTAACTGATGAATATGAGTGTGATCGGTGTGATCTATGTGATCAGAGCTAAGTTATTCGATGAAGTCCGTCTTAAACACATTTCGTCTAAAAAATAATATTCGTATTAAAATACGGATATTATTCAGATAGACGTCGTATGTGCACTAATCAAAGGATTTACGCGTCAGTATATTATATTTAAAATGTTGAAAAACGTATTCATTAAACGTGTTATTGTTAGGGAAAAAATTAGTATTAGTGTATAGTGTCGTGATGTATTGTTTAGAAAAAAAAAAAAACGCGCGTGTGTGTATTTATAAAATACATAGGTACATAAATGTATACGTAATATACGCGTATTGTATTCTGCTGAACATATGTATATAACCGACGTGATCCCGCGGAACGTTCTAGAGAGATGTCGATAGTTGGCAGCAGTGCCGCGTACGAGGGCTTATACACACGATAGTATCCTCTCGCGTTTTATTGTGCCGTATAGTAATACTATAGTGTAAATTGTAGTAGTAATAGTAGTAGTAGTAGTAGTAGTAGTAGTAATAGTAGTAGTAGTAGTAGTAGTAGTAGTAGTGGCCGTGTGCGGTGGCGGCGGCGGCGGCGGCGGCTGCATAGGCAGGTGGTAGTGCAAGCGGTGGAAACGGTTTCGGCTGCGGCGGCTGCGGCAGCAACGCAGCGTACGGCGGCTCAGAGGTGGTGGCATAGAGCCTGTTGCTCCTTCGCCGTAGCAGCGTACGTAAGCGGTTTCAGTGTAACGGCGGCTTTCTGTGACAATGGACACGCCGAAGCCGTCCTAGTCCCGCCCAGCAGTGTGTGGCTTATAGACCTCATCGTTCGTGTGTTCACGTGTAGTGTGCATTCGTGTGTGTGCGCGCGAGTACGTCGTCGTCGTCGTCGTTGCGTACGTGTGTGTGAGAGCGTGAGCGTGTGCTTGCGCGTGTGTGAGTACACCGCAGCGGCCATCTGTGCCGTCGTCGCGTTTCGCGTGTGTGCAACGGGCAAGAAAGAGACGAGCACAGGGTGTGCGAGAGAGACCGAAGAAAAAAAAAAGAAAAAGCAAAAGGGTGTTCGAAGGAATACCTACCGCCGTGCGCACCCCGTGACACTACTATCGTCATGCACCACTACCGGTCCAGAGAAGAGGAGACGTCCTGCGGCGCCGACCCTTATTTCTATCTAAGACTTTCGGCCGGTTCCGTGCCGTACAATCCCATCAAGCTCGAAGTAGACGTGAAACCCGAGTCAAGAATTTCACCGGTTACTTGTCTGCAGCAGCAACAGCAGCAGCCGCACCATCAGCTCCATCATCAACAGCACCAACACCATCAGCAAAGTTCTCCGTCCGATGCGGCAGTAATGGATATCACCGGTAGTGGTGGCGGCAGTATCGGTATCGCGTGCAAAGACCAAGAAGAGAGTACCACCGGCATCGGTCTGCTGGCTCTCACACAGCTCGATGGTTACGGCGAATACAAGTCTGCGTCGCCGTACGGAGACGGTACTGGCGTCATTACGTCCGTCAACTTGCACGATCGGGTCGGCGACGGTGGCAACGACAACGACGACGATAAAGTGCATAAATATTCGTTTGGCCGACTGATTTACTCATCGCCTGATGATATCAAACATCAGGTATTCAAAGTTTTTCTTTTTCTCTCTCGCTCTCTCTATCTTGATATATATAACGTGAACATTTTTATTACTTTGATATTTCATCGCTTCCGCCATTGTTGCTGCCGAAAGTTGTAGTTAAACGTAATACCATTTTACCGAGTATTTTAATGAACATGCGATCTGTTGAAAATATCTATGCATAAGCAAATTTATTCGATTTTCATATATGCGTGTGTTTAATTTATAGTCTATACTTAGATGATTTTTACGGACGGACGATTTCTAAGATATATTCAACTTTACTACTTGTCCGAATAATGTGTATTGTTTCGCTTTCCGTTATATGCTTGAGTTTAGGTTCTCGTTCAGTTTTCTTATCTAACTTACGGGTTATAAATTGGATTGGACCTAACATTGAAATGTTTAGTACGTTTGCTTATATTGGGTTTTTGTGATTATTTCACGGTCTTTTTTATTTTTATTTCTCCATCGTTGAGTAAACAAAAAATGGTTGACGTATGTGTCAACATATTCATAATTTATGAAAATATGTATTTATGTACCTACAAATTGATTGGATTTAAAATAGACGATTACATGCCATGTGGTATTTTTTTCACGAGTTAAGGTGTATGACCCCTATCATCCGATGTAACTGGTAAAGGATTTGGAACGTCTTGGAATGACTGGGTGTCCATGTTAATTTTATGTATTGTATATATGATTTTATACTTAAATTGTTTAAAATCCACACGTATTTCTAAAACTTAATATTAAATCATATCGTATAATTTTTTTTTTTAGATGATTTACATTGATTATGTACAATATTAATTTATATAAAATCCCAATTGATATTTTTAGTCTGGTTAGAAAAGTTTATTAACGTTTTATCGAATTTTTACTAGGCAACAGCAGTTACACTACATGAAGTAGCTATAAGTAGGTCTTTATTGTTGCTTATATTATTTTGTAAGGTGAACCAAACCAGTTGGCAGATGTTATAAAACACACCTGCCTGCATCCTCACAACAATGGTCTCCTACTCACCGCACCTCTAAAGTATAGCTTGATTCTTTTTTCTCCTGTTTTACTTATCTAACCAACTTGAAATTTAATAAATTTCTTACATGTTTAATTACTTTGATCCTTCTCGTAATATCTGGACAACACTTAATTATATGTTCGTTAGTAGAAGTTGGTTTGAATATTCAAATTTCAAATTTAAATCGCTAAAAAAAATGAAATATTTGATTTATCCGAATTTTTTATAAATATTTTCATTTTTAGGTTATTGATTTATATTTTAGTTACATTTATAAGTTAAATTACAAAGTTGTATGATTGATTTTTTAGTATTTAGTTTTATTTAAATCCATACTAATTGTTTAATTTTGACACATTTAATTTATTATTTTGTTAGTTACTTTATATCACAAAAGCATATTTCGAACAGCTTTCAATAAACTGAAATCCGGGATGTATACATAGGATACGTTTACATTTATATATACTAGATACTGATCACTTTGATAAATTGCCAAAACACAATTTTTAATTTTATTTGCTATTGTCGGATAGGATAATATTTCGAATATATTTATTGTACAATATATAATGCGGTCATCGTAATACAAATAGTCGTAAAACCACTCACTACGTTTGCAAAAATACACACTGGCTCAATTTATTCTTTGTTCTTAAAAATAAGCTAAGATAAAAGTAATAAATTAGATGTTCACATTTTAAATACAATTATATTACATTTTGACCAAGTTTTCAGCTATTTAGATTTACGTTTTATTAAACACTCCAAATTTTAAACAAAAAAAAAAAAATTAAAATATAAATTTTTTAGCTTTATTTTGATTTACATCAAGGTTAATTTTTTTATAACTGAAGCAATATACAAAAATAATTGCACAAAATGTCCATTTTAATTAATAAATTCATGTTAACCTATTAATATATGAAAATTATTTATTTCTTTGTTGATCTTATTTATTGCATTTTTTGAATATTTGAATATTTATTTTATTTCTATATTATTGTTTAATCAACTGCTAACTTTCATAGTATAGGTACTAATTATAAATGGTGTATAGTTACACGGCCTAAACAATAATATAGGGAATTAAGCTTTCATTTTAACATCAAACATATTTACGTTCATAAAGATTATTTTTACTGCGAGAATTTAATTATAATTGTATGTATAATTTATTTTATTAATTTTTAAATTTTAAAAATATGATGTCTTGAAAAGTAGAGTTAATGATTAAATAAATCATTATTTATATTTTATATAAATTAAATTTACGTTTTATATGCTTATTATAGATTTAAGCATTAATTAAAATTTTTCCATTTTCAAAAGTAACTTTCAGATCCGCTACTGGTGTATTAATAAACATTCTATATTTATAATAAGAAGTTAGTTATCAAATATTTATAAACAAATATGATGATCGATAACAATCTATTAGTATAAGATAGTATTTTTTTATAAATGTGATTACCTATTTCAATGATTTAATATCGTTTGTTATAAAATTTAATATTTATGAAAATTTACCTAATCTATCCTAATTAAAGTTACAAAAACCAATGCTTTAATTTCAAATAATGTTATAGGAGACAACCATTATTTACTGATAGATTAGCATAAACTCTGTTACAATGACGTATGAAGGTATAGCTTGTGTATCTGTGTGTTGAATGTGTATATATACATTCAAGTTATTACTATTTTATTTTAAACTATATTTATATAAATTGTTTTATTGTTTCAATACACTTAATTGATATTTTCGTAATGTCATTGGTACGTCATTTTACACAATATTTTATTTTATTTTTATATAATAAGCTCACTATATTGTTTTTTAATATAATTCCAAACCCTACTTTAATTGTTTTTGTTCTAACTTATATAATAAGGTATTATGTTTTATTTCAAGTATCTAGTTGTAGCAGTCGGACTATGAACTTGATCCTAAATTTGTATATGAAAATAATATCTATAATAAATGTGTATACAATCATAAAGGTGCAATAGAAAATCATCCAAGGAGCTTAATAATAGTCCCTATTTTCTGTTATACTAAATAAAAGTTAAAGGTATAATTTTAATATTCTGCCTTTTTATATTTACTTAATCACAAATTATGCAATAATAATTTCAAATATTATAGTTTTTGAATTTTCAATAATTATATATATATATATATAGGTATTTACAATAATAATGATGTATTCAAGATGAAATTAAAATACATAAAAATATCACATAATAAAAATATCAAATTAACGTCAAATGAAGTATTTCATAAAAAGTCGAGTTAGCTAATTGATTGTACTGTTTTTCAATTTTTTATGGCTATGTTGCATAATTCTCATTAAATATTCTATTGTTTTACTACCAGTTTTTATAGTTGGATATATGACTTATATGCATACATATTTTATGTGTTTTAAACCTTTTAAACTTTAAATAATTTTATACTTTTTGATCTTATTATCTACTAGTTTACTTATACAAGAGTTATCGGAAAGTGTAATTACTGTATAATGGTCCTAATGTACTTAAATATACTTGTATGCTTACTACTTTTATTATAAAGGTATTCTACTGTTTATTAAACTAAACAAATAAAAAAGTAAATAGTTTCATTTTACTCAATTGTTAATTTGTTTTTCATCGTGTTGTTTAAAAAAATTTGTAATAATGTAGTGTCTATGATTTAAATTAAAATTCTTCATATGTGTAATAAAATAATAACGATTTGCTATCGTTAATTTAAAAATCTCATTTTATATTAATATTTATAGTATTGATTTCAATTACACTGTAATTTAAACGTAGATGTAAAATAATACGTATTTTTATAAATATAAAACAAATATATGTAGGATTGTCTAACATTCTTTAAACATGTGAAGATTCTGAGTCAAATATCCAGCATTTTTTTTGGAAGACTGCCGTACCTTAATAATGAGTTTGTGTGGTTGATAACATTTATAATAAAGTATGACCACGGTATGGTGAAGAGAGGCAAAAAATGATTTTATCTTTTTTTTTCTTAAATAGTAAAATTGAAAATCAGCGAATAGGATACTCGTGGTACCATCTATAAACTATTATATAAAACTCAATCCTTCTTTTAATTTGTTTTAAAGTATAAATCATTTGTTTTACTATTATATTAAAGTATATTTTTTATTTTATTTATTCTGAAATTAGATAGGAATTGCTAGGATCTTATTTAATAGAATATAATGTTCTTTAATAATGATTTAACATAATAATGACATAACATCTGTAATATTACTCTTATTTACTGTTTTTTTAATCGCATATAATCGTGTAGCGCAATGAACTAAAATAATGTATGTGTTTTCAATAGCGTTTCATTGTTATTCATAAAAAATATTGAAACGTAAGTTTTTTTTACAAGTTTAAACAAAATATATTTTACTCGTAATTAAGTTCATTAATTTGTTGCATGCCACAGTATTCATTGTTTACTACCATTTGAATGCAATCTGTTGATATTTTGGTATTGTGACGGTAAAAAAGGAATTAAATGAGTAGAAAAACAAGTTTCCATAAAAAAACTGGGTATATAAGTTCAATTTATATATATATATATATATATATATTTATATTGTTCAATGTTGCTTTATACTAGTTCTTTATGTTCTTGTTTTCATCGTTTATTAGAAAAAGAAATAATCCATTCACGTAAGTCTCCTTGAAGATGCATCTGCCATTATGGTTATTTTTAACGCTTTCAGGGATTCTGTTCTGTATATTGTAAATAATATACTCGGAGTATGTTATAAGGTCAATCAATGAGATTAATTGTATTGCGAAATAATTTCCCATTGTCTGAATGAAAATTGTTTTAAATTTATTTCTCGTCAGTATCAACCTTGTACGTGTTATTATAGATATGTTGACGTATTGGAAAAATCACTAATTTTTTCAATGTTTCAAAATAATATTAATTATTTTT